TTATCGAACATATGTTGAACTTCTATCTGCTCTTCGTTCATCAACTCCAAATATTCAATTACAAATATGTACAATTGATATGCGTTGTATTGGTTTAGCACTTGTTAGTAGTTTTCTTGATCATGTTGATAAACGAGTAAATCATCCATTCATTTTTCTTTTGTTGTTGTTGTTTGTTTAATTTATTAAATAGAGATTTTTTTTTCTTTTTTAGTTTGTTCATACACTTCGCGTTCCATATAATGTATTAACACGACAAAATTTAAAATATTTTCTTCCACGTTTACCAACTCTAACAAAATTACATACATTAGATTTATCATGTAATTTTATTGATTTTCGTCTTAATCATGATGATTTAGAACAGTTTTGTAATGTTTTATCACAATTAAAACATTTAAAAAATCTTTCATTAAGTGGTTCACCAATAACAAATCGTCTTGAATATATATTAAATTCTATTGAACATTCATTAGATGTATTAAATCTTGATTTTTGTTCTTTATGTGAAAATGATCTAATTAGTTTATGTCAAATGAGTACACGTCATCAATATTTACATTTAGATTTAGGTACAAATCGTTTAAATCGTTTTATGCGTACATTATTACTTGTTTTAATGAAACAAAAACGTCTTGTTGTATTAGAACTTGATTATAATCGTTTTTCATCAAATGATTATCTAGAATTAATAGCTTGTTGTCAACGTTTAACAACATTAAAATGTTTAAGTGTACGTGGACCAAATTCTTTAACAACTCAATTAGCTGCTGCAACATTTATTGGTGAACATTATCCATGTTTACGTTCATGGAAAATTGCTTCACCTATTGAATACTCTTTGAATCGTTTTGTAGGAAATGATGAACAAAATTATTTAATACAAACTATCATGCCATATGATATATTTGTTAATGAAATGAATAAACGAGCCAAATGTCTTGTTTCAATAGCTGAACTTACTGTGTGATAAATACAATTTTTTAAAGTTGTTTTCTTTTTTTAAAGTTCTTTTCATGTTTTTTCTTGAATAAAATAATAATGTAGATTATAGTTGAAAATATTTTTCAGTTGTTATAATTTGGCATCG